TTGAAATCTATCTTCAGTGCGGTGAAACTTAGGCGCTCAGATAATGTTCCTGAGATGAAATATATATCAGGAGCTCACACAATGTTCCTGAGAATGAAATGTATATCCCTGATTTAGTTTCTATTGGTCCCTTCCATCACGACAATGAAAACCTAAAACTCAAGGAAGAACAAGTTGCATTACCTTTATACTCTGCTCAGTCGCAAGCCGAACCTGGAAGCAACGTTGCACGAATGTGTGATGGCGCTGAGAGATATAGAGCAAACAGCAAGAAACTGCTATGAAGAAACACTCAATCTCACCAGCGACGAGTTTGTGGAAATAATGCTCCTTGATGGCTGCTTCATCATCGAGCTTTTCTTAAATATGCTTTTAAGGGTCTGAGACGCCGTGGTGATCCCATCTTCACCTCCGAGCTGTTCTTTGCAGTCAGGAAAAACCTCATTTTGTTAGAAAACCAGATTCCATGGATGGTTCTTCAGAGTCTGTTCGTGATTGTGCCCATTCCAGCACAGTGTACTCTAACCGAGCTTGCACTCGGTTCTTCAAAAACATGTTACCAGGAGAACGGGCCTTTCTCAGAGAGAAGTTCAGCCAAGAAGGTAACCATTTGCTCGACCTTATCCACCAGTGCTATATCCCTACAAATTCAATAGTTGAGTCAAACATAGCTGGTGGAGAACCAAAAGCAAAAGATGCCGAGTCTGCAACAAAACTTAAGAAACAGGAATCAAGTTCATGAAGTTCACAGCCACAAGCTTGTTAGACATAAGCTTTTCTGATGGGGTTTTGAGATTCCTCCCCTTGTAACCAAGAAGTACACCAAGGTTCTGTTTGCAAACCTTATTGCACTTGAGCAGCATCACTCTCATCAGATTCAGTACTTCACATCTTATGCCTTGCTCATGAAAGACTTCATCCAAGATGTGAAAGATGCCAGATTGTTCAGGCATCTGAGGATTGTGGTCAGAGAAAGTGAAGACGAGGTCGATGATAACGGGATGAAGAAGTTCTTTCACTCTTTAACAGTCTTTGCGAAGAGTGGATTTGAAGAGGTTTTATTATGCAGGAGTTGAGGGCAGGTCAAAGAGTATAAACAAGAAGGAAATCATGGCGGAAGAAACTGGAATGCAGTTTGTTTCACTTGACTTTTGGTTTTCAAACACTTGGGCTCATTCTCCGCAAGCTTTTTTTGGTTTTCTGTGAGTTTCACAGTTCACATTCTTTCACAGCAATGTCCAGCCAGAGAAAGAGAGAGAGAGAGAAAAAAGGAGTGCTTTCCCCTGTTTTTGATCGCCAACAGCAACAGGGTTGTAATAACTTCGTGAGATTTTGTGATGAATGATTTATAATCATTTCAAATTTTACAGCAAATGTTAGCCAATGAAGATGCAAAGCCAGAAATTATACAGGCTGTCCCCCTTTCCAGCCTATACTTTACATGCAATGAGGATTAAATAAACCTATAGAGGTACCTATAGGAGAGAAGGAAAAGGTTAGGACATAATTTAATATACGTCTCATGAAATAAACGTGTTTACAAATAAATCTCTCAAAATTTAAAAACATTAAGTCTCTTAAAATTTAAATGTAATTAAAAATAAAGTACAGGGACAATAATACCCCTATTAAAAATACATTATATCAATTAAATAATTTATAACTATTTTATCAATAATTTAATATCTATCACTTTAATTTTTTATAATTATAACTTTAACTTTTTACATTAAATATTCAAACTTTTAACTATTAAATATGTGAAATTATAATTATAAAAAATATGAAATGATGATTGTAAATAATGATGAAATGTTGTAAATAATTAGTGTTAAATTTTATTAGTAATGCACTCTTTCATTTCTATTTATAGAAAAAAAGTTGTATCATACAGTTTAATAAAATTAGTTAACTGTATTAATAATGTGTCTAAAAATAAAAAAATTAGACTACAAAACCCTTTATTAATTATTTTAATTAAGCTTTCATTAATTATTTCTTATAACTGTAAATGATGAAATTATAAGGAAGTAATTTAAAAAGTTTGCAATAAATGCCTATTTAAAAAATGATTTTATTTATATAAAAATAAATTAAAGTGATAGTTTCTTCTCCTATAATAAAAATGAAAGGAGTATATGTGAAGTTATAGCTATAAAAAGTTAGAGTAATAGTTATAAATTACTAATAAATAATTATAAATAATTAATATTAGACTTTTAAACAATGCATAGTTGGTTTAACTATTAAATATATGAAGTTATTGTTGTAAGAAATTAAAGTAATAGTTGTATATTAATGATAAAGTAGTTGTAAATTATTTGATTGATGTAATGTATTTTTAATGTGAGCATTATTGCCTTTTGATCTCAATTTCAAATTACATTCAAGTTTTAAGAGATTTGATTGTAGTTTCTAAATTTCATAAGACTTATTTATAAATAAATCTATTTCATGAGACTTATACGTAATTTTTTTTAATTTAAAATACAATGATAATGGATATGACTAACGCAAATGGCAATTTTTATAAAGAAAATAGTTGAGAGTATTTTCATCTATTGATCACAATATTAAAATATTTTTCAACATGGTGAATGGTTAGGATATATTCGTTCTATTTAATGTTATAAGACATTTTTAATTGAATTAAATTATACTTCTAATAAATAATTAATTATTTTTCAAATTACATACTCTTTCTATACTTATCTTTTAATAGAATATTTTAATTAAAAAAATTATTAATTATATCCCTTAATTAAGGTTTTTTAAAAAAAATATTAATTGCACTCAAAATGTTTTCTATTATGAATTTAATACTTAAAAAATGTTCTTACAATGTTAGATGAAAGGAGCAATAATATATGCTCTGATGCAGCTGTAACTTTGTATCAATTTAAATGTAAAACATTTTTTTATTTTTTCATATCAATTAATGATAAACATTTTAAGAAATGATGATAAACAAAATGCTAACTCCTTTTAAAAATTTTAGACATTTTTAATTGAATTTTATTTCTAATAAAATAGTTGTTTGTTTTTAAACTAATTCTATTTTTTTATATTTAACTTTTATAAATATAAAGTAATTTATTTAATAGAGATATTTTTAGAAAAAAAAGTAATCATTATACTTTAAAAGACTAAAAATGCTTCATATTTTTTAACATTTAACCTCTCAAAAAATACTTTATATTTTTTTTTAACGGAATAACTTTATATTTTTTTTAAGGGGAGGTTGGATATGGATCATGTGTAGTGGAATTCGTGCAGTGGATGAGAAGTGAAAAATCTTGATCATGAATTTTTATCTAATGGCTAATAAAAAATAGGTATATAAAAAGGTTTTTCATTTGCAAACACACAGTCATGTTTTATCCAAAATAAAAATTAATAAAAAATATAATATTTTTAATCAGTCAATTAATAACTAATTTGGACAATACCGATTTTATTTGGATGGTCTAGTTTAATATTAACTTTTTTATTTTTTATAAATTACCTATTCAAATATACTTTGAAGTCTGGACAGTTTATAACTAATATTAATTTTTTTATAATGCTTACAATTTTTTATTTTGATAAATATAATATTAAAAATAATGATAACACTTCTAACATTTTCTAAAAAATAATTTTTAAAAAAAATGTAAGTTAAAAATTTTAAATATAACCAAAATTAAATTTAAACTGTTTAAAATATATCTGGATAATCAATTTATAAAAAGATAAAAAAATTAATATTAAACTGAACTTTCTAGATAAAATCTGTATTATTTAAATTAGTTATTAACAGATTTATTAAAAATATTATATTTTTCATAAATTATGATTGTGACAAATGAAAAACTTTTTTATACACTTATTTTTTACTAGCCATTAGATAAAAATTCAGGGTCAAGATTTTCCATCTCCCATGCACTACATGGTTTTCACTGCACATGATCGATATCCAGGGGAGGTTTCATTGTTATGCAACGTGCTATTTTCATTCATTCACGCCCCGTTATTTTCATAGTCCCAGTCAATTGCTGAGATTCAGTTCATGAATTAGAAAATAAAATATCTAGGAATAGAAATAGAAACAGACCCATGTCATTACTTTACAATTTGTCCCAAATTGAAAGGATCTAATAATTTTTTTGGCCTGTGAAAGGGTCTAATAATTAGAATTATGAACAATAATTTAAAAATATTCTAGATTTTGTTACAAAAGAAAAATATTCTAAATTTTTATTTGCCTCTAATTAAGTAGCCATAAGGTTATAAATATATAAATATCGATTGATTGATTATTTAACTAAGATAATTAATGACCTTTCCTTTTGGAATTTAGACACTTATGTTTTAAATATCTTCAAGAGTCATTAATCACTCATCATCATAGTAAAATATACTCCCTTCATTAAAAAATATAAAATATTTTTAATTAAATTTTATATTTCAATAAAGTAATTACTTACTTTTCAACTAACTTTATCTTTTTATATTTATTTTTATTAAATACCTAACAATAAATATAAAATTATCATCAATGGGGGCATTTTTTTAAAATATAATAATTATATCTTAAAAAATTAAAAATACATTATATTTTTAAATATTTAATTTTTTAAAAATGTATTATATTCTCGGAGTATGTCATGCTCTTTTTTTATTATTAGACTATATTTATTTATTTAAATAACACCAAATCTCTTCCCATGGGGCCGTTCAATTATTATTATTTTTTAATATAATGAGATATTTAATAGCAATAAGAGAAAAACTGTACAAGATTTTTGAAAGAAACACTAAAACAAAACTTAAAAAATTACATCGAACACGTGTAAGTAAAAAAACATCTTAAAGTATGATTAATAATAGCATCAATTTGAAAGAGAGGATATTTATAGGATACAAACTTCATCAGTGAAAAGGGGCCGTTCAATTATTAATCATCATTCAACGGTCAGAACTAATGGCAAGAGTCTCAAAGGTCTGCCATTTTTAATTTTCAGCACAGAAGATTGCGCCGGTCGTCTCAGCCTCAGCCTCAGAAGTTGCGGTCTTCGTCATAAAGCTTTCTCTGTGAAGCATTCATATCCAAAAAAAAGTAAATAAATAAAAACTTGTTTCAGAACTCTGCACTTCGCCTTGTTGTTGCGAAAGCGAGAAATGGCAGCTCATAGGAGAGTCGGTGTGGCCGTTGATTTCTCCCCTTGCAGTAACAGAGCTCTCCAATGGACCGTGGATAATCTGGTCCGAGAAGGGGATCATCTCATTCTTGTCAACATCAGCCAAGAATCGGATTACGAGAACGGCGAGATTCAGCTCTGGGCTGCTACTGGCTCTCGTAATGAACTCCCTCCTTTTGCTTCTGTTTTTTTTTTCCTGTTTGTTTCCCTCTTGTTTGCACTGTATTTTTTTTTTTTTCTATTGGCTTCGGGACTTTGTTAATCAACATTGACCGATGTTGACTTTGCTTCGAATAGTTTAACGATTAGATTCTTAAATCACACGATCATGCTGCTTTAAGTTTCACTTCAGAAATCTCTGATTTCTATTGAACTGAAATGATGTGCATCGTATGAGTTCAAATTCTAGGAATTTAAAACCTACTGCAGAGAAGCATGGGCATTTTATTGGTCCTGATTTTGTTCTTGTTTTACAAGGCAAGAATTTTCTCTTTTTAGCTGTAGATCTTTTGAGCATTTCATAGATCCAGATGATATTCCCCTCTCCCCTCTTTCAAGATGAGGAGATTTAATGAACTGTCGAAGCTCCAACCATTTCCCCATATTTATTATGAGCTAGCACTAAATGGATTTCTGTATATTGAGCCCAAATGCAGCTTTGATTCCTCTGGCCGAGTTCTCTAATCCAGTTATCATGAAGAAGTATGGAGTGAAACCTGCTGCAGAAACACTGGATATTGTCCAAACTGCGGCTAGACAACACAAGGTAGAAATATAATTATAGTTTCTTTGGCCTTAAAATTTGAAGGTGATGATTGTTCAAATTCAAATGTTCATCAGATTTCAGAATAGCTTCAACTCTTTTCGTGGCGCAGGTTGAAGTCCTGTTGAAGATCTATTGGGGAGATGCTCGTGAGAAAATTTGTGAAGCAGTTAATACCACACCTCTGGACTGCCTTATCATGGGGAACAGAGGCCTTGGTACCCTCAAAAGGTAACCTAGTTTAAATATTCATAAACTATTCATCAACAGTGTGATTCATTCCAGACTTTGTGTGAGTCATGGATTCGCAGTTTATTTTGGATGAAAAACTCTTTGGTACATTAAGGATAAGGATAAGGGAAATACTTGAGAATGTTGTCTATTCTGACTCCTGCTAGATATTGAGTTGCTGTTCATTCTCTTCATTATTGACAGGGCTATAATGGGTAGTGTCAGCAACTATGTAGTGAATAACGCGTCTTGCCCTGTGACTGTGGTGAAGGCAGAGTCCCATTAAAGCTGCTTTTCTATGTTGTTTGCTCTAAGTCAAGGGATAAGCTTTTATCTGGTTGAGCCATGACTACCTTGCCTGCTGGATAAGTTGTATTCTGCTGCTTTCCAAAATGAACTTAGGTTCTAGTAAAATAATGATGTTATGTAATCTTTATGTTTTGTACTGGATGAATTTGAGTGCTTATATAGTCGGTGTTTGTGTTGCATGTTTCATGATGCACCACGCATTCACTGTGTTTGTGCCTATGTTAATGGATGTGCTCATAAATGCCATTATCTCCTGGCAAAAATGTTTGTTAGTAAATGAGAATATGGATAAGAAAAATAATCAAATTTGATGGAATGAAACAATGATGTTTACTACGTAATGAATAAGATTTTTTTTTAGCTTTGAATTTGAGTTTGATGTCAGGTGATTATATTTCTTTCATGGTCTGATGGTTATTGATTTTGTTGGGGGGGGGAGTTTACTTACCTTTAAAAAAATATTAATATTAATATTTTCAATTTTTTGTGTAAATATTTTTAATATTAATATTGATTAAAAACTAAAATTCATTTTAATTTGTAATTCAAAGTTCCTAATAAAAGATGTTGCTTTTTGGAATAGGTCTGAAGATATTTTAGTCATTATACTCAACTTTCTTAGAATGCTTATAGATTCCACTCTTTCTGGATGAAAATGACGTCAACGCTACTTCTTGTGAAGGGAATTTGATGAACCAAAAACTCTTTGGGGGATTTGGTTGTGGAATCTATCTCTGACCATGTTTATAAGCACGTGCATTCTGGAAATCAGCCTTTTTAGGTGAAAATAATAACAATTAGAGCCTGTATTTATATGTCTAATGACTTTATGAAATATCTCAAAGTATCTAATTAATGTTGGATTGTAGAAAAGGTTTGCATATACTATTGGATATTAGAAATTATCTTTGGTGTGAAAGATTTTGATATTGCAGCGTTGGAGTGAAAACAGTGCGAAAAAGTTATTTTTCAATAAAATTGAGATGAAACAGGAGTGTGTTGTTATTGTTGTTCTACTTATATATATATATATATATGTCTCTCTTTTTTTAGGCCATCGAAAGAGATTCTACTAAAATAAAGAGTCTTACAACCAACAAAAACAGAGCAAAAAAATGAACAAAACATTAACAGAATCTCTCAAAAGAGAACGATCAAACTCCAAAAAATAAAGTCATCCAAGCATCATGCCAAATTTTAGTTTTCCTTCTATTTCCAATACTTGAAAATGCCGGCCTTCAAGAATCTTACGTTCTTCCAGAATGCGACTCCAAGTCCAGGAAGCTCATCCTCCCTCTGTCCCTGCTTCAAATAAAAAGTTGCGTCGCCATCCTTGAGTTTTTATTCTAACTTTGTCAATGACAAAACTTTAAAAGCTTGGATTTTAGATCTACCCCAGAGAACAGGCAAACCTAGATAACTGCTTGGAGCATCCACCAATGCAATCAGTATGAAGAGATAGGGGGATAAAGGGTCTTCTTGACAGGTACAAATACTTGCAATTCTTTTTCCAGCCATTAAGATATTAAACTTCACGGATGAAATACACCAGAAAATCCTATCAACCCATGGCTTTGAGAAAACCATTTTAATTAACACATGATATAAAAAGTCTCATTCCACTCTATCATAGGCCTCATTCATGTCTAGTTTTGAAGCTAGCTCAAAATTTCCTTGCTTTTTGTGCCTGAGATAGTGGAAGGCTTCATGAATAATAATAATATTATCTTGGATCAAATGCTTACTAATCACTAACGTGATTATTGAATTTTTAACAATTCATTTGCTTTATTAAAATTCAGATTATTATAGAGATTTTAGCTATCAATAAAATATAAAATTCATTATAAGTGGCCCTCCTTGTAAATTATGAACACAATTCAATTTTTTCTTCAAATTCCATTAATATTAACATTTTTTGGCCAAAGGTATTTTCTAGTTTGTGAACCATGCATTGCAATGGTAATCAATTTAACAAAAGTAACTATTATAACGTAACAGTCTCTTTAAACATTATTTCAGAGTGATTCCTAAAACGTGTGTATAAAATAACATCTCTTGAGAAAAGATCACTCTTTTGATAGTGCTCAGATTATTCAAAGGATTAGCCTCAATTGTCAAGATATCTTCGAGTAAATAAAAAGTAACTGTTACAATACTAGAATGAATTTGATTTTCTAATATTCGGTTTTTTTTATAATTAATTTCTCATCGTACAAAAATTGAAATCTAAAGCCAAACAAGACCTACAAATTTATAGGCAAATAGTACATTAATTCTTGAATAAAAAAATATTTACCAACAGCAGATGTACTGCCAAATCGGGATTGAATGTCGTATTTAACAAACATTTTGCACTTGGACCAGCATGTTGACAATAAACTACCCCATATTAATGGGCAAAATAAGAATGCTAAAAATTGCATACGGTATATAGGTGACAGCAGTATGACGCAATTATATTACTGTAGTTACAACATCAAAGGGTGCTCGCTTTTGACGAGCACAGAAGCCAGCACGAACAACGAATACATCTAGGATCCACCCATGAAAACCGCACCATGTTCAACAGATTTAATGAACTTCTTCAGCAACAGAACCACGATTGCAATTGTAAGTCCAATTGCAGCCAATGTGAACAAACGATCATCAGGTTTTTGGCCCCTTGTTTCTGGCCTTGGATTCAAAACCCTTTCATCTGAATCTTCGGGCAATTGGTTGCTTGAAACACTGGATGGAATCTCTGTTGGAGCTTCGACCCCAGAGGGATGAGGATTCGCATTTGCTGGTTCTTCAACAATTCGGTCAACTTCTGTCCGACCTTGAGGCCCCTCACTGGCTGGTGTCTTGGGATTTGGAGAACTAACCCGGGTCTCATCTTCCCCATTGTCAGGGTGTTGTTCTTCAGGGTCCTGTGATGGGCCATGTTGGGGAACAGGGGGTGCTTTGCTTAGCATATACTCATGAATCTGGGATAAAAAATTAAGATTAGAACACGGAATTGCATACAACATGTATAGGCTACAAGACAATAGAAAACCAATTCCACCTCATCAATCAGTTTTTGACGTTCAGGAGTTCCAAATCGTGGAGGTGCTTCCCGAGATTTAATGGCCAAAGCACGCCTCTCTTCCTTTTTGTAGTCTAATGAGCCCAATGCACCATTTGGGTTGGTAGGCATAAATGCAATCAATGCAACTAAAGCAGTCCTTACTGCCAGAAGAAATTTATATCAGCTAGGTAAGAACCTTTCGGTCATCACAGTGATATGCTTAAAGCTTCAAAAATTTAATGGTTATTAATTGTTCAGAGTATGGAGGCAACGTTCTGTAGTAATTAAACGATAATGGTTTAAAGATCAGTCCTACTCCAGTAACCATAAAAAATACTCCGCATGATCAGTATTTTCTCAATAAAAAATCAGTCCCCTCCTTGCCTGGCTAAGATGTAAGCATCAGATGTTACAAAGCAAGAAAGTGAACAGACATTGCATGAATAACCACAATGTCAACTTCTTTCATGAGAGGAGAATTATGAATATTGCAACGCCAATACAACATAGATAGCACCAATATTTCAAAAGAATTATGAAGGCCACAACCAAACATCTCAGGCAGTCCTATAGTTGCAAATCAACAAGCAACATAAAGCTATAGAACAATAAAGTCTCCCATGTAGCTCTAACAACCACATAGGGCATATTTGGAATGTATCATGAAGCAAATTGTCTTCCTAAATTGCTCCCAACATGACTTGCAAAATATTTAGTAGTCGCAGTGTATCAAACTAAAAAGGAGATGCTATTTACCGCTCCAAGATGGCTGCCAATGCTCTGGATGATGATTTGATATGCTCAAGCAAATCTTCGTTTGTGTCTCAAAACGACCATTAGGCTGGCAAAATAACAGTAAAACATATAAGAATGATAGAAATGAGTTTCCAAATTACAGAAAAGAATGGTTGATAAAAATTAAAACACAACAACTCAGAAAGATATTATGCCAATTAATATGACAAAACAATCTAATCTATCAAAAGGGAGAAAATCTTACTGTCAACAACATAAATGAAGGAGGTTTGAATGGATATTCGGCAGGCAACTGAATCCGTCCGTGATAAATACCACCCTCAAATTCAGTTTCACAAGGCCCTCTTACTGCAAATTGCCATTCGAAAATATTTTCCTGTAAAAAGATGATATCAGAGTCTCTTAAAGATAATTGCTAGAAGACAGCAAAAACAGGACAATGCCACTACATAATCAAATGCCAAGTTTGAAATATGGAAGAAACTTGCAGATCATGGGGAAAAAATCATGCACAACATCCCTATGACCTTATCAAGTTGGGGAAACCCTCATATGAAGAAAAATAAACAAATAAGAGCGGAAAAGAGAGGCTTCAAAGTTCAGGTTCATATGGTATATTAGCACATATGATTCAGTGGGAACGTGGAATGAGCTTCAAATTTCTCCAAAAAAATCCAGTCACTCTATCATGTTTGGGTGAGCTTTGATGATGCAATAAAAAGGAAAGAACCAATTATCACTTGTTTATTTTACACTGATGAAAGAAAATAAAGAAAGCCAAGGCAACAGGGCCTCGCCAAGGAATATTTGATGCCTCTGAACTGATCTCCGTCACACAAGAGGTCAGACGCGTACTTCTGATGGAAGTCAGATATATTTGCTTCTTTCCATGAAGAAATAACTTGTCAAGATTCGCAATTTGGCAACATCCACAAGCTTAATCAAGTAACTCTATTGTGTTGATGGCACGGATTAAGTATACACTCTCACAGCTATCGAAAACGTTATTAATTGCAACAGAGACCATAACGCGAGGCTCCCTGTCGAGCTGAATGAAACCCCATTGGTCGATAATTACATTGAAAAAACATCAAATACGCGCAGCGGGTATCGAATAGGAAGCACAGTACTTTGAAATTTGAAATTAAAGAACAAGATGAGAGATATTGAACTGGAAACCCTAATAGAACAGGAAAACTATGAAAGTACTAGTTTGCGGTGAGAAGACATGATACCTCAAGAGGCAAACTCATGAAATCATCGCAAGGGTTAGATTGCATCTCCTTCACCTCCTGTAGAATACGCTTCACCGCAGGGTTCTTCAAGTTGTACTTCTCCGCCATGATTTTAGACCTCAAACAACGTGCACTAAAATTTGATTGGAAAATTTATTGAATCAAAACCTCCACGA